CATTTTTCGTCATTTTCCCGGCGATAACGATAGAAAAGGACAAATGGTATTAAAGCATTTTTTAGTATTGATATGGTACGCAGAATGAAGCTGATCGTATTTAAACTGATGAAGGCACGCCAACACTTCCTCGTATCTATGTATTAGGCTGCACATGGAATCATGTAGCAGTCCATTTTGAAAAGAAATTTCGTATGTGCAGATATCTGAACACAAGAAAATTGAGAGATCTCTAGAAGTTATCCAGAGGTATGAATTCGTCTCCATTTTCTTGTGTTTAGATTTCAGCAGCAAAGCGGATTACAACCATAGCAAGCTTTTTCAAAGCATTAACAATCACAACTCAAATAGCCAACTTTGAAGTTTTTCTCAAAACATAAATCAATGTATGAGACAGCTGTGTGTAGCTGAGTATGCCAGTAGTGTGTAGATAATCCCTTCGAATGCAATTTTGCGCACTGCGAATGAAATATTTGCAGGCTTAATCAAGGAAACCAAAAAGATTCGATGATCTTTCGGCAGCACAAACCAATCGCCTAAACACATGGGCATATTCTTTCAGGAATTCTGCTTCTGAATTTTTGTTCCTAGAAAACGAACATTGCCAAAGCAAGATTTAAAAAATGCAAAAATGAAATCTATAAACATGTTCATGTAAGGGTATATTTTCATTCACCAATAAAATTCATAAGTTTCAAAAACGTACTCATTGATAGATTTGTTAATTTGTAACAATATAGCGAGCTGATGATGTCTTGAAGTATTACTTCGCATTTCTTGATCGCTAGTGAGTTCCACCATTCTGTTTCAAAATACTCAGCGTAGAAAGGAAAAAAGACTATTTTTAAGTTAAAAATTCCTACAAAGCGAGTGCAATATTAGGACCACGGTTGATCAGGCCAACATCTTCTTTCTGCATAGACAATCCTTTACAAGACAGAGGACGACCACCTGTTGCATGAAAGGGGTCTTTCTATGGTGTGGAGAAACAGCAACAGTTGAGCGAACACCTTTTTTCTGCAGTAAATAGTCCTCTACTTTCTATTTACGCAGGAAAAAGATATTACTGTCGGTTTCAAGAAACTTTGTGAAACATGATCCCATAATAAGCAAGAAGCTAGAGTATCTCAAGTAGAGTCCACTGGTTATTGGAGAAGGGTATAAGCTATAAAAGTAAATCGTGGCTTTGATTGTTGCTCACCTCTCCAGCAAGTTGTGATTTCGTTTCAAAGATCCAGTGACTCCTTTCCGAATCCGAGGCTATGATGGTGGAGCGGAAGGAAAGTTAAGGAAGGTCACAATTTATAGGCGGACTTAGGGGTTCCCGACCTATAGAAGGCAAAGGTAGGGGAAGGAGGGCAAAGTAGGTGGCGATGGAGATGAAAAGGTAAGTGTGTATGTTTTTAAAAAACGATGACATTTTAATTGATTCTTGTGGAAAATTGAAAAATTGCTACCCATGAGTTAATCTAAAGGAGCACCTCGAAAAGATATATTTAAGATT